CTTTTCTTCTTCCTAACTCTATTTTCTTTCTGAGATATCTCCTTAATCGGCCATTTTAGTGGTGTTCGCACGATCTTTGATCTCCTTTCGAAAGGATTGTTGCAGTATGTGGTTTCTGATCCGATGACGGCCAAGACAGATACCGTCATAGAACTACAGTAGTAAGATGACGACGGCTGCGGGCCTGCTAGGGCACTCTGTCCATCCGCCGCTACTGCAGCGGTTCCGTTCCCCTGCAGCGTAAATCTACCTCCTCAATGCTACCCTAATTAGTTTCTTATTCTGTGTTTCCGTCCCATAGCTATTTTTGGTCCACCCCTGGAATACCTGGTAATATGGATATCTGTAAGACGCCTCCCTATCTGTCACCTGGGGAGGCATCCTATAAGGGAATAGCAACGCCACACGAGAATAATAATAATGATAATCATAAGGATAATATTGAAAATAATAATAATTATAATATTGATAGTAATAATGATAAAAACGATAAAAGAAAAATAATTATAATAATAATAATAATAATAATAATAATAATAATAAAGATAATAACGATAAAAATAGAAGTAATAATAAATATAATATCAATAATAATAATAACAATATTAAGAATAACGATAATAACCATAATAACTATAATAATTATACATATAAAAATAATATCGATAATTACAATAATAATGTTAATGATAATAAAAAGAAGAAGACTAAATATGATAATGACGATAATAATGGTAATAATAGTAATAATTATAAAAATAATATTTATAAGGAAATTAACAATAATAATAATAATAACGATAACAACGACCATTAACGATAATAATAACAATAATTACAATAATAAAAATAAAAAATAACGATAACAACGTTAATAATAAGATAATAATAAAAATAATAATAATAGTTATAATGATAGTTAAAGCAATAATAACAATAATTATAATAATAATAGTAAAAATAATAACGATAACAGCGAAAATAATATGTGTAATAGTAATAATAATAATAATAATAATATCGATAATTGCGATCATAAAAATAATAAAAAAAATAATAATGGTATTACATAAGATAATCACGATAATAACGAAAACAATAAAAATAATAAAGAAAATAAAAAATATAGAAATAATAATAAAAAAAATAATATTAATAATGACTATAAAAACGATATAATAATATTATTTACAGTTTAACGATAATAATGATATTAATTATAATAATTGTAATAATACCAAAATTAAAGAAAATAATAAAAATAATAATAACGATTACAATAATAAGGACAATAATGATAATATTAAAAATAATACTAATAATAATAATAAAATAATAATAAAGATAATAATAATAACGATAATAACGATAAAATTGTAATAATAATGAATATAAAAACAATCTTTATAATAATAATAATAATAAATATAACGATATAGTCAATAATAATTATAATAATACTAATAATAAGTACGATCAAAAAGATAACAATATGAAGAATAATAATAATAACGATAATAACGATAATATTAATAGTAATAATAATAAACAATATTATAATAATGATTATAACAATGAAAATAATAACGATATTAAAAATAACAACGGATATATTAATAGTAACAGTGACCCTAATGTGGATAATAACGATAATAAACGTAATAATAATGTCGATACGAACAATAATTATAATAATAATAAAAACAATAATAACGACAAGAACGGCTTTAATTATAATAACAACAATAATATCGATAAGAAAGATAATAGTGATAACATGAATAAAAATAACATTATTAGTGATAATAAATACAATAATATTAATAATACTAGTAATAATAATATTACTGATTATAATTTAAATATAATTATAATAGTAAAAACAATAATTCAGGTAACAACCGCAATAGTAATAATAATGATATTAACGATAATAACGATAAAATGATAAGAATAAAATTAATAATAATAATTATAATAACAATAATAATAGTAGTAATAATAATAATAACTATAAAAATAATAGTAAAAATAACAATAATAATATCAATAAAAATAATAATAAAATTAAAAATAATATTAACAACAATAAAAACTGTAGCAATAATAATAATAATAATACTTGGAATAATAATAATAATAAAGATAATAATAATAATAACAATAATAATAACAATAATAATAATAACCGTAGCAACAACATAACATTTCGCCAGTAACATTGTGGAGAAAAGACAAAGGCATAGCAATAAGTTGCCTTGCATTTGCAGCCTCCCCCTGTGGACAGGGGGTAGTAGAATACTCCCACAGTACTCCCTGCTTTTCGTAAGAGGCGACTAAAAGGGACTGCGTGAATGGTGTGTGAATGTTCTTGTATGGCTATTCCTTTCTTTGTTCTTCTGTCATATCCTTTTCTATTCTTTCTCTCTCTCTCTCTAACTTCCTTTCGTTCCTTTCCTTTCCTTTGGGAAGCTTGCCTCCCACTAATACTATTTTATAATTATGGACAGTACAGCTAAAAGTATCAGCGGGCGTGGGAAGGACACTCACGCCACGGCGGTGTCAGATGGTGGTAGGGCAGGCCACCCGTCGTCGTCAACCATCAACTGCCAGGAGCTCAGGGTAGGCAATCTCTGGATACTGCATCAGGAAGGGCACCACAGGTAGCCCTTACCACAGATACACCGACCTGGCCTGCGGTGTACCTACTGCGCCAGGAAGGTTAGGAAGGGAAGAAAGCCAATTGGAGGACCGGCAAAGGGTTGCTTGGGCCGTGGAGAACATTCAGCGCTCCGACTTGAAGTCACCAATCTTGGAGAAAACGTTCAAACGTGCGAGGTCCCTTATCTACTCTTCAGAGGAAGAGGAGTTAAGGGTAGACATGACCGGGTGGAACAAGGAAATACCGGCAGAGACTCCCTTGACTCAAGGTGGAGACTTGTAGACTACTGGAACTCGCCACGAAGCATACTCTAGTAGCCGATAATGAGAGGAGAACATCCACCAACATTAATGGCTCTGTTTCAGGAAAGATCAAACGCTTCCATAATGATGTGCTAAAAATATTGAAAACCTTATTTGAGAGGTTTCAAACTGGAGCAGGGGATCCTCCCTCAACCAAGGAGGCCATGGCGCAGTTAAAGGCAGAACTCAGGATTTTGGAACTGCGCAATAGTGAGTAGACGGATGAAGTTGCCCGTCTCAAAAAAGATACGAAGAAAGCATCGGTAAACACATTTGCTGAGAGAAGCCAAACAACGACTCCGGAAATACAGCAGGTAATCGAGTCGGTGAGGTTGCTGACGGAGGCTGTCTGCAGTATGCTGTAATAGTCGCAGGAGCAGCGGCAGCAGACTTCGAATTGAGCAGCAACTGAAGATGGTGGGCCACACAAAGGCTCCACATTCCGTGCTGAGACCACTCTACCCCGTGCGAAAGAGGTAATTGCGAGTAAGGCACTAATCCCGCAGAAGAATTTTGTGGAGATGACTAGTCGGAAAAGGAGACGAGTCCAGAGGAAAGAAGCGAACGCACCCCCCCTGACTTCATCAAAGAAGGGAAACAACGACCCTCAATCCTTGCGGGAGCAGGCGGCCCCAGGAAATGGGGAAAGAGGAGGAGTAGCGCGCAGGGAAGAAAGAAGAGGGTGTAAAGGGAAAGGGAAGTCGCTGCAATTTCCCTATTCTGTGCCGAAGAGACAACGTACAGAGACGCACTCCTTCGGGCCAGAGAGAACATAAACATTAAAGACTTGGGGATCGGTAGCATGTCATGCAGAAGGGGTCTCACGGGTGCCTTTATATGACAGGTACGAAAAGGGCAAATGAGAAGGCAGACCGGATGGCGGAGGCCTTGATGAATGTCGTCCCGGGAGCAAGAGATACTCGCCCTCTGCGCACAAGCAGCATGAAGTTGGTAGGACTAGATGCGGTAAACAACATGATCGTCATCAAGAACGCGCTGATGGAGGTGCATTCCGGAACGGACTCCAACCTCATTAATGTAGGGGAAGTAAGAATTGGTAGGGGTAGACTAGGTGAGGCCACTGTTTCGGCTCCGGTGCCCGCCATCCGGGCGGCCCTGGAGAGAGGCAGGATAAACATGGGTTGGACATCAGTGAGGGTGCACGGACTCAGGCAGCGGCTCCTCTGATATCACCGGTGCCTGGCACGAGGACATGTTGCTGTAGTGTGCCCGGCCATAAAGCCTAGGACAGACTTATGCTATATATGTGGTCAGCCGGGTCACCTGGCCAAGACATGCACGGATAAACCTGAGTGTCCAGTTTGTGCAGACGCTGGCCAGAAGCAGACCAACCACCATGCCGATTCTTGGGAGTGCCCGGTAGTGTCTCCTAGAAAATGGATAGACAAAGTTTTCGGGAGGGCACCAAATGTTGGCCCTGAGATAATCCGGGAAGACCCGCATAAGACCGCAGTAAAAACGGCAGCGAGGACAATGAGAGTGACCAAGAAGAGAGGAGTGCATGAAGACATGGAGGTGGAACAAGGTGAACCGGGCACCTCATTAGGTGTAGAAGCAACAGAGGGTCCATAGACAATGTCCTCTGCTGTTCTACAGATAAATATAAACCACGCACGCCGTGCGCAGGACTTACTGGTACAGCGCATGCACGAGGACAGAGTGGAGATTGCGATTATTGCGGAGTCATGATGGGCTCCTCCTGGGGATAAGAGGTGGTTTTCATCCCTAGGAGGGACTTCACACTCCGCGATGCTTGTGGGCGATACTGGAAGACCCTGTAGCCTGATGCGTCGGGGTCTTTTTTACGTAACCATTAAATGGGGGACTCGCTGGTAGTTTCGGCCTATTTTCCTCCCAGCAAGAACATTAACATGTTTTATAGACTCCTTGATGAGCTCTTAGAAACACTCCTCGCTCTCCCAGTGCTGGTAGCTAGCGACTTTAATGCCCGGTTCAGCAGATGGGAAGGCAGGAGTAACCGTAGGGGTGAGTTGCTCTGCATCTGAGCCAATAGAATGAACCTGGGTCTGCTGAGCCAGGTTGGCTATCCCACGTGCCTTCGACTACAGGGGTCCAGTGTTATAGATCTAACGTGGGGCACGCCGGCAGCTGGCGTCCGCCTCTCGGACTGGAGGGTGGATGAAGCTGAGTTCCTGTTGGACCACCTAAATGTTAGATTTAGCTATAGTCACGAGTCTACAGGTGTCCGAAATTCTCGCCCACAACATAAAAAGCCCCCTCGATGGAAGGTCAACTACCTGGATGAGGACTACTTGATTGCGACCCTCATTTCAGAGGAGTGGACGGGTGGAACTTTGTGCGAGGGGAGTGTGGCCGGTGCGGACTGTGCGGACAGGTAGGTGAAGTGGGCACAGTCTATACTGAAACTAGCATGCGACATGGCCATGTCCTGAGTGAGGGGACAAACCCGTGGTAGTAAAAGTACTTACTGGTGGTCGGACGATGTAACGAACCTTAGCGACGTTGCGATGACCATAGTAAGGAAACTTTCTAGAGCCAGGAAAAAGAAGAACAGGGAGGAAATAGTGCGGTGCCAAGACGCTCGAAGGGACGCAAGGAGGGCACTGACTAGGGCTATTAAAGAAGCCAAGAAGAACTCATGGAGGGACCTGCTGAACTCTATAGAGGATGATCCATGGGACAGATCTTACAAATTGGTCTTGGGAAAACTTAGGCCTTATGCCCAACCAGTAACTGAAACCCTAGAAGATAGGATACTGGAGAATATACTCTCTAAGCTATTCCCAAGAGGACCGGGAACTGAGCTGCTGGAACCTCTACTCTCACAGGTGACTATCTCTGCGGAGGAGGTCTTGGTTGTCGCCAGGAAAGGAAAAGGAGGAAGGCTCCTGGACTGGATGAGATACCGGGTCTGGTTGTGGGTGCTGCGTCGACACACTGTGAGAAAGGGTTGGCGCAGTGCTTCTCCGCATGCTTCCCGACAACGTGGAAGATAGTGAAGCTCGTCCTTATCAAAAAGAAAAGGGACGGGCCCTCCGACTCACCCGGATCATATAGACCCATATGCAGGATTGGCGAATTGGGGAAACTATTCGAGCGTGTAGTTGTTGGCCGGATCAACAGCTACTTAGAGGAGACTCGAACCATGGTGTCATTACAGTATGGATTTAGGACGGGCAGATCCACTGTAGATGCCGTCTCGATGTTAAAAAATTAGTGGAGGCATCGATACGGGACAGGAAAGTCGTTATCCTGGTGAGTCTGGATATCTCTAACGCTTTCAACTCCTTGCTGTGGGCCGTTATTGTTAAGGCGTTAGAGCGAAAAAACTTCCCACGCTACCTTGTGAGCATCATCAGGAGTTACTTAGACAATCGCGTCAAAGCATATACAGAAAGGCATGGACGCGCAGTGGAAAAATAGGTGTATTGTGGGGTCCCACAGGGATCCGTTTTGGGTCCTACGTTGTGGAGCATTACCTATGACAATGACCTCCAAAACCCGATGCCAGGTAGATCCCGTGTTGTCTGCTGTGCAGATGACATGGTCCTCCTGTCATCGGGATGGGACCTGCCTCAGGCTATCATGAACGCTGAGTGGGACATGGACATTTTGGTGGAGGAGATCGAGGGATTGGGTCTTAAAGTGGCGCCGCAAAAGACGGAGGCCATGGCCTTCCCTACCTCTGCCTTCTGCAGACGCAGGAATATCCCGCCCGCTTAGATTTGCCATAGAGGTGTTTGCGTTGAAATTAGAACCAGCGTTAAATACCTGGGCATAGAAATAAATTCAAGAATGTCGTTCAGACCCCACTTTGAGGCCCTAATCCCTAAAGCGGAGGGTATCCTCCGGTCCCTTGGGAGGCTCCTTCCGGACCGGGGGAGAAGAAGTGACGCCTCTACGGCAGCGTGATCCACTCGGTGCTCCTTTATGGGGTGCCGGTGTGGTGGGGCGCCGTTGTGGAGGACATGAGGATTGGGCGGGCTGTTTGTAGCCTCCAGAGGAAGGTGGCGATCCGGGTGTGTTGTGTTTATAAAACGGTCTCCTTCCACGCGGCGATGATGATTGCGGGGATTATTTCTCACGCTCATCTGGCACCCCGGCTGGCGGAGACCTATGCAGCTGTTAGAGACGCGGAGGAATCTGTTCCCCCGTGTTGTAAGGCTGTATTAGGTGCTCTTGCCAGAAGGAGGGCAATAGAAGCGTGGAAGTCTGAGGAACTTGAGCTCGTAGAAACACCAGCAGCAACGGGAGTCCGTGCAAGGGCGACTATTGCCGAATGGTTAGCTGAGTGGATCGGGAGGCCTCTCTCGGAACGACATTCACACCACACAGTTGATGTCCGGCCATGGCGGTTTCTCGGCGTACTTAAATAAGATAAAGAAGATTCCCTCCCCACGTTGTTTCCACTATGGGGGGAATGAGAATACGACGGAGCACACCCTAGTCGACTGCCCGGTGTGGACGGATGCCAGGAATTAGCTGATCGATGAGATGGGGGAGGGCAGCTAACCCTCCCCGTGATAGTCAGAATCTCCCTGACCGTCCCGGGGGGTTCCGGTGCGCCGGCTCCCTCGACACCTTCGAACAGTGGGTAGATAGTCCGTGGTGTCAGGAACAAGGAGCACCGAAAAGCCACTACCCCCATGGGTCTTGGCTACACGGCCACCGGAGATTATCCGAACTCCTTTCGAGATCTTCGGGGCACGATCAGCATGTGAGTTAGATTAGCGTCCACGCGCGCTCTTCTATTAAATGCTGACGGGCTATAGCCGGGACGTCGCTAGGCCGAGCGACGGGGCATACCTCCACGCGGTTCCCCGTGGGCATGTACCTTATGGTACATGGCGAAATTGTCCTCCCGGTTCGTCCTCCGGGTCCTGGGATTTTTCCAGGTCCTGCACCGAAAGCGTGGTTTCTCACCGAAAGGTGCTGAAAGGCACAACCTCATCAGGTACTAAGGTACCGCTCGAACGACAAGAGGGGCTAGGAGGACGGTATTTTGTTGCGTATGCCTAAATAGGCGAGGAAGCATAGGTCAGGCACCTTCGGGTGACCGCCTTTACATTATCATGACCGTCCCGGGGGGATGGGCGGCCTTCCGGACCTTCGCAGCGCGGGTCATACGTGCAAAGGAGGAAGTTGAGAGGCGCAGAGAACGGACGCAAGAAGAAGTATGTATGAGTGAGTGTGTGGGTGTGTATATGGACAGGAGTGCGAACGATAGGCCGCATAAGAGAGTAGCTCCGGTGCGGCCACCTCGGGGCAAGGCTCCGAGCGGCTCAGGCGGCTTCACTCTAGGAGTGAGTGTTTGTATACGGGCGTGAATGGGCCTGATAAGAGCACCATGGGGTGGGGATCGGGTCAATATATATGGTTAGGGAGTAATTGCGTCTCCGGGGGCTCGTGGGCCCCTGTCGAGTGCGCCGTATTGGTATAAATGGAGATGAATGAATAGGAGCAAGACGAATACCGGCCTTGCTCACCAAGGAGGGGTACTGGGCGAATTTGTAATACGCTTATGCGCGATAACGCACACCTCCTCTCTCCTCTGTCTGTTAGTAATAAGGATCGGAAGATTTTTTAGTCGATAAGCAATCCGAACCTGAGAGATTTCTCAGGCAAATTGAATCCAACACTCGTCTGAGTACCGGGCTCAGAGGGCCTATGAAGGTTTTTCCTCCTGACGAAACAAAAAGAAAAAAAAAGCATTTGCAGACGACTTTGCTACAATGTCAGACAGCCTAAAAAGTGCTACAACACAAATCAATCTCTTAGAAGAACTAGCCAAAAAAGTAGGTTTGAAAATCTCCGTAGAAAAAACTAAATTTATTACAAACATCAAGAACGCTCAAAAATTTTAGAATACAGATATTGGTCCAGTGGAAAAAGTAAAGAAATTCAAATACCTGGGAGAAATAATTCAAGAAAATGGTTTAGAATAATCTGCAGTAGAAAGAAGGGTACGCAAGATGGAAAAAGCGTATGGTAACACTAAGAATATTTATAATAAAAGTGTCTATCTAAAAATCTTAAAGTAAGAGACTACACTACATTAGTGAAACCGGAATGCTTATACGCTAGTGAATGTTTGGTACTAAATTACAGATTAGATAAACTAGAAGTATAGAAAGGAGAATCATGAAGAAAATTTTAGGTCCAATGAAAACAACAGAAGTATGGAAATTAAGATCTAATGATGAAATATATAGAAACATAGAAGGCATAACAGAAACGATAAGGAAAAGAATACTGCAACTTTTGGGCCATATTTACAGAATTGATGATTCCAAATTAACAGAAAGGAAACTCATGTACCTTTCGAAGTAAAAGACAACTACTAGCTGGATTCAAGATGTAAAGAAAGATCTAGAAAGAAATAATAAGAGTGAAGAAGAAACTATAGACAGAGAGATTTTTAGAAAGAGGGTATTAAGTATGGAAGGATTTCAATGAAGATTGAAGAAGAAACCTGGTGTGAAGTGGTCTGAGGACAGAAAGAAACAGCATATTGAGAAGATGAAGGAATATTGGAGGGAACGGAAGAGAAAACAACTAAGTGTGAAGAATTGAAATTGCCACGTCGTCATTAGCAGGTCTCATCGAAAGAACAATAACCATAATAAGAACAATAACAATACCAAAAAAAAGAAAAAAAAAATAATAATAATAATAATTTTTTTTTGACTGTCTGAGAATGCCAATCTTTACGCACTAAACCAGGGACCCCGCCCGCCAAAGGAACCCTTCACCATTTGGGTCCCCTATAAATCCCTGGAGTGTCGGGCTCATCGTTGGAATAGGCACTACCGACTAAACTCATAGCCATCCCAGTGGCATAGTGAAACCATCCCGGCACCGCCATGTGGCATTACGTCGGGATGGCGCCACTGCATCAGGTCCCTTTAGGGGATTCTCCCTTCGGCTCTACGGGGCAAGAGCCTGGAGCAAGGTTAGGGGCGCATCTATGGACTGCCCATCTCCTTCTGATTTCTGCGCAAGATGACCCTGACGTACCAGGCCACTTTGTTCCACTCCTCCTGACCTTGGAGCATTTTCTCGACAACGTTCGCTAGCGAGATGTCTCCGAGGTCCTGCTCCAAGGCGAGTCGTTCGACGCTCCACCGGGTACATTTGAAGAACGTGTGGTGGGCGTCGTCGGCAGTCGAGTCGTCATAGAGGCAGTTGCCGTCTGTTACCTTCCTCATATTTGCGAGGTATAAGCAGAACAGGTCATGCCCTGTCAAGAATTGTGTGAAGTAGAAGTCGACCCCCCGCTTCCCCCGCCACCTTTCTCCTGTCGCAGCACTTCGGCCCAGATTTCCGCGCCGTACTGCATCACTGCTTCGGCAGCGCGCATTAGTAGTCGCCTATTGCACGGTTGGGGAACGCTGACATTGGCCATGAGTGTGTCAAGCGAGGCTACTACATTCGTCGGCTGCCCTAATTATATGCTCTCCAATTGAGCTTGCTGTCGAGAATTACTCCTAAGTATTTGACAGCCGACTTAGTCTGGATCGTCGGGTCTCCTACAGTGAAGCTGCGCAAGGTGTTGATGCGCTTCTTCGTAAGTAGCACGATCTCAGTCTTCTGAGCTGCTAGGGATAGCCCGTGGTCTTCCATCCAGGAGATGACTGCGCATGACCTGGTTGAGCAGCAGCTGTGCCTCCTCCGTGTCCCTTGCAGTTATGACAACTGCAATGTCATCTGTGTACCAAACCAAGAAAGCACCTTCAGGGACTGCCATACGTAGGATATCGTCGTACAAAATATTCCAGATATCCGGTCCCAGTATGGAGCCCTGGGCTGCCCCCGATGTTAACTCCAAGCTTCTTGGACCATCGCCAGTACTGTATTCTAGGAAGCGCTCGTTCAAGTAGTCCCCGAGTATTCGGAGTAGGTACTCCGGGACACTGAAATTACATTCGAGCGCTTCCATTGCCAAGTCCCACCTGAGTTGAAGGCATTTCACACGTCTAAGGTACCAGCAGACACA